CAGCAGTTCTTTAGTATCACTTGCACCAGGAAATTTTGAATCTCTTGAAACATTTTACTTTACAATCCATTTTCATTGTGTTGTCTGATATTTATAACATTCTATAATCAGCAAAAGACCAAAACTTTTTACAATAATTCATAGATATAGACGAAGGGAAAATTTCCTATTATGACAATCTTTGTTTTCCTACATTACCATGTATCTTTGGGAACTGGTTTAATTCTTTGATAATCAGAAAATCTTGTAATCTGAAGTCAGATTAAAGTAAGAGCTAAAAAGCAAGCAAGTGGCAAAACTGTGTCTTCTACAAATGCCTACCATTGAAATCGTGTGTGGATGAGGTATTTCTGGGCTCGGGGACCAAGGGTTGAGGCATTGAGAGAATCAGTGAAAAAGTGAAAGAGTAAACTTTGTAAAATATAGAAGAGTCATCACATAAATTGGAGCAGAAGCAGAAGAAAACAGCACAATGGAGGCTTAGGGCTGTGGGTTGGAAGCATCAATGACAAAGGAGATGACCAAGGATATCTAATATGGCTGAGAAGTCAAAAAGTCATGGCTAAGAAGTGATCCATGTTAGTACTAAAAACTGAATGTAAGAAACAGGCTAAATGCGTAGAACAGATACCCTGGGAGGCGGAGATCAAATCTGAACTAGAGATTCTGTCAAAACGCTGAGAAATCTATAGATATTTGCCTATCACATTTTAAAGGATCTGGAGACATGAATTTACATACTTTGCTGGTGTCACCTACACTTTCTTATTCTCTAGCCTTTAACAAGGAGACCTTAACGCAGGTACTAGACAAGGATGTGATAAGTAGTTAATTCCAAAAGGATCACTAAGAAACCAAAACAAGGTTTAAATTATAGGTTAAGTTTTGGATGATGGCATTCTTCAACACTGCCTGGAAAAGTACGTAGAAAATCAATGTATCAAGTCAGCATTCCCCAGAACAAATGTGCATTAGATGATCTCCCCTCGTAACATTAATCGTCCAGTTGGGCCAAGCATGGCATATTTCTTCATGCCTCTTTTTATCCTTTCTTAGACGTTCCTGAATATTGTTTGGCATGTCTTCTTTTTTTTTTTTTTTAAGTTGCCAAATAAAAATAGTAATAACTTACATCTCTGACTTCTAAAATTTGCCTTAACTATGCATTGAGGTTGTCCAGCCTCTTTGGCTAGTTCTTTTTAACATTCAAATGACTTTTTAAAATAAAGGAGATGACTCAAGCCTTCAATAAAGCCTTAAAAATGACATCTCTATTTATAGGCCTCAATCAAACACCTCTAGCTGATTATGGAAATGTACTGGAATGATTTAAAATTCCAGTATTTTCATCAAAATTATCAGTATGCTCCATTCTTGGTCACTCAAAAAGCACACACACACACACACACACACACACACACACACACACACAAAATCCCAGGGGAAATGGACATTTCAAGGGATCTAATACATTGGAGTATTTGAAGGTTTGTTATGCCAGCATGGAAAGTGAAGAACAGCCATTGTCTAGTACGCATGGTTTGAATGGATGGGGTAAAAAATAAGTGACAGAAGGAATCTTAGTAGCGCATATGATCCACTCCTCTCTTATTCTAGTCTCTCAAAAGAAAAAAAAAATGTGTTATGTGTGGTGGGGGGTGTTGAACTGCAGTCTATGGACTCTTACAGAACAATCACTTTATGAGGTTCAGATATTTTTGAATCCCATAAAATCAAAAAGTATTGATCTAAAGTATACCAGGAAAGTCAACATTTATGAAGTAAAAAAGGAAATCAAAGTATTTAAGTCCTTTTTTTTTAGTGACACATTTCTGATCCTCAAATGCCTACAATTAAAAATATCTCCCTTTATATCTCAGAACGATTATTAATTTTATAGACCAAGTTGCAGTCAGCCCTGAACAAGAAAAAAAAAAAGTAGCATTTACTCACAACCAGTTCTAATTTAGAGTAATTCTTAGCTACAGACGTTTAGAATATGACACCGGAATGAGAAAAGGTAGTGATAAACTAGGACAAGGTCAAATGCTAGTTGAGAAAAACAGCTTGAGTTATGATGCTTAATGCAGTGGATCGACTATGGACTGTACTCTTTCTCTTTATTGGCAAAAGGTTCTTGGAAAAAGTCTTAGGTCATCCATTTGAACAATGGCCAAAATGCCTATTTAAACAAAAAAGAAGAATAAGAATAAGAATAAGAAGAAGGAGGAAGAGGAGGAGGAGGAAGAGGAGGAGGAGGAGGAGGAGGAGGAGGAGGAGGAGGAGGAGGAGGAGAAGTAGTGAAATTCTTGGTACAGATGTAATTTACCAGTTGCTAATGGAAACATATAAGAAATACTTCAAAGTTATACACTGAATACTAAACTTTAGAATGCAGGGCTACATATCCTGGGATCCACTCTCTACACCTGGTGGGTCAGTCCCTTCCATAATGCCCTTCTTCACCACCCTTGATGAACATTTTTGCATTCTGTTTAATCACAAACTTAGCCTGCCCCCAATCTTAACTTTGACCTTCATCCTGGTTTCATTTCTTTATTGAAGGCTTTGACTACACAATATTGCACTATGAATATATAGTCAAATAACATAAAAAACAATTTAAATATTTAAATTAAAACTTCTTGAGAATAAACAGCTGGATAATGAAATGTCATTTGTATACTATTTATTTACAATAACATGCTTAGCCACTAGATGTCACCCTTTAAAAAAGCAACAGCGTTCACTCCACAAAGTTTGTTACATTAATAGCAGTTACATCCCACTATTGGGTAGAAGTTGGCTCCACTGGAATTAATTACTTGGGCATGATATAAAAAGAAGCTTTAACAACAAACACACACCACCAGCTGGGGTTTTCTGTAGAGAGGGCTTCATGAGTCAAGCCTGATTTGAGTCTTGTCAGTCTCCAAAGCCAGAGAGTTAAAATTCGACAACAGATAATAACATATAATTCTCAAAAAATTTAAAAGCAAGGCTCTTGTACAAAGAGCTCATTCAACTTATTAATGAATGAGGAACCAAGAAGATGGTAAGCCCTGTACAAGAGAGAATTTCTGGAATAGAGACTTACACAATCAGTTTCTCAAAGGTCTGCTGAAATGAACTTGGTTATGGATGTAAAAGTGTTTAATGTCTTCAAAGTCACGAACCATAACCTCTGAGGTTGTGTTTTCTACTTAAGAGAAATGATCTCTACTATGTCTACTAGTCCAAAGTCTACTAGTTAACATCCAGTGAAGCAACAAATGATTTAGCTTCCATGAAGGACCACAGATAATGCTTAAACCACTGTGCTTAGCACTTTACATGTGCACTATCCTATTTTAATCTCAGAATCATTGCCTATGAGGTAGATGTTGGTATGACCTCTATATAAAGGCTATAACACCGAGAGATCAAGGAACATTCTTCAGGGTATAGACCAGCGAGTGATCAAGGAGTAATATGAAGCTGTTCCGTCTATACAGTCTTTCTCCTGGGACCAAAGATTTAACACATACAGTGTTCTAGAGGATGTCGGGATTCTGCCCACTACAACCCCTCCCCCTCTCCTGTTCCTCATCCATGAAGGGTAAATAGTGATAAAAGAACTCTCAGATGCAACAGACATTATCTCTAAGATCAGAATTTAACTGCTGACCCTTACATTCTCGAGAATTTGTGTAGATTATGTACATATCCCCCAACTACTCCACCAGCTTGTCTTTGGGTTGATGTAATACATCTGATCCTTTATTACAATTTAAACAAGTGGAGAGTGGGAAATGTGAGTAGTGAGGCTTCACCCAAGGGAAGAAATATCCTATATACTGTCTACATGGCAAACAATTGTGCTAGGTAAAACACCATCAGCGGGGTTTGCTAAAAATGAGAAAGAGACCTTTTAAAATAGGCATGGCACTCCTATAACATAGTAATGCTTTAAGTTTTTTTCAGAGAATTTGGGACATGGGGAGAAATGTAATGTACTGACAGTGTAATTGTGGAAGATGTCTTCCTGCCAAAATACCTGTCTAAAGAAAATGCTCTATTTAATTTTAAAACTTTAAAATCTTGAAGAAATTTTTGACATGATTAAATGATCTGTAGCAAATCATCTTAAATTTCTTGGATTTATATGCGTAAAACCTCAGAAATGTGAGGTGCTCGAAGTTTTATTACTAATTCAGCTTCAATTCTTGTCAAGATTACACCACTCAGCCAGTGGCTGAGAAGACTCAGAAAACTAATCAAACATTATTATATTACCTATTATGAGTCTAGACAGTCTTCATCACACACCCTCTGACACAACAACTATGAAGGAGCTTTTTGCAGAATATTATTTCTGTATCTCCATACCAGATAAAAACAAACGTACAAGTTCCCCAAATAAAAATGTATGTATGTGTTAATACATCACATTTGCATTTATACTTGCTCTAAAAAATGAAAAAGTTATATAAAGTAGAAAAGTATTGCTTTTTATGCAAGCAGCCTGTGTTGTTCGATGTTCAGCTTCTTCAGTTTTCATGGATTATAAAATCTTTTAGGACAGAAGATAATCCTTACAAGACTATCGTATAATGTTTCTAGCTTTAAAGGTAGATATAATTTTAATAATAACATACCACATTTAAGGCTCGATTAGGCATAGCTCTGGTTGCCTTTGATTTATTCATCATTGTGAGGAATCTGAAATTTTCTGAAGTCTAATTTTTGAACAAAAATAAGTCGTCTCTTTGCATTAAACCATCTGCTCCACATGATTACAATGACTCATTTTTAGCATTGAAGCTTCCCTTTTTGTGATTAAATTTTTGTTCAACCAACTGAACTCTTTGAAAAGCATTTATTTCTGATAAAATGCATCATTGTTAATAGAGTAATAATTATAATCAATCCAGATTCTTACTGGATACCACCTTAATGAACTCATATTATTAACGCAAATTAATTTATTCATCACCGAAGAATGTAAAGATGGTACTCACGCAGGTTTAATTGTATGGGCATGCTTTTCATGGACAAAGGCACCAGCAAGACCTCCTGCTCCTGAGTTTAAATACTGGATTGAAAAGAAATTAAATTGTATGACAAAAATAAATAATGAAATCTTTTGATTTTTTTTGTTATGAAACCAACTTTTGAATAGCTCAAAATGTATGATTATTTGAGCTTTTATAATAAAGCAGAATTTTGCATCACCTTATTCAAAGAAAAAAAAATAAACATAGCATTATCAATTGAGAATAAATACCTATTACTTACCTGGCCAAATTTTGCCAATAGATACAGTTCCAATGAAGTCTATCTAATTTTAATGTTTATTCATTTCAATTATTTTGTCACAAAAATATTTAAATAATAGAAAAGCATATTTTAAAAACACCAAGTTAAAATAAAATTGGTTTCAGGGGTACCCGGGTGGCTCAGTAGTTAAGCGTCTGCCTTTGGCTCAGGTCATGACCCCAAGGTCCTAGGATGGAGCCCCACATCCTGCTTCCTGTTTGGAAGGAAGCCTACTTCTTCCTCTCCCACTCCCTCTACTTGTGTTCCCTCTTCACTGTCTTTGTCAAATAAATAAATAAAATCTTAAAAAATTTAAAATAAATAAATAAATAAATAAAATTGGTTTCATTTCCATGATTCCCGTCAGTTGTCTTCAGATGTCAATAACAAGTTGATTCCATAATAATTATCTTTACATAGTAGAAATTTCAGAACATTATTAACAAAAAATAAGATCCTAATCAATTTGAATTAAGTTCTAAATGTGGAGTTCCCCCCACCCTATCTCCTGACTTTTATAGCAACCAGGTAATTGAAAGAATAAGTACTCTACAGTAGATGAAAATACCTGATTTTAATTAATTATTATACTATTGTATCATATGACTTTGTAATGAGCTAAAATCAGAAAAAGCAGTAATGAAAGCAATGGAGGAAGTAACTCAAATAGTTAAAACTGGCCACTGAGCCAGTGTTTCATTTAGATCAATGTCAATGTGTGATAAAAGGATGTAAATATATTAAGTAATTTGTACCTTGTAGGAGCACCAGCAGGCAAAATCAACTCCCCAGTCATGTAAGTGGAGTTCAACATTTCCGACTGCATGTGCTAGATCAAAGCCAACGAAACACCCCTGGAGAAGGACATAAGAACAAGTTTCAAATCTGCTTAATGATTAGAAATAGTAAGAATAAATATCTCTAAGAAAATTTGACAAATGATTGTACTATAATTATAGTTTATTCTTTGGTGCAGTGGTTCACAATGTCTGAACCACAAAACACTGAGCATTTTCAAGATCCTTTCAGATTGAAATAGTTTTCATAATATGAAGACACTTTTCACTTTCATCACTGCGTTGACATTTGCACTGCTAATGCAAAAGCAGTTACAGGTAAACTGCTGGCAGGTTAGCACAAATCAAGGCAGCAGCATCAAATTACACTAGCAGTCACTGCCGGTCAAGACCATTCCGTTGCAGGGGAAATAACAAGACAGTTTCACTTAAAGATCTCGAGAAAGCTGGAAAAATGATTAATTTGTTTTAGATCTCAATGCCTTAATTCTCGTATGTTTAAGGTTTAATGTGGGAGTATGTATAAAACATTTGACCACATTCTGAAGTAAGACAGTTGCCTCAAAATAACGTACTCATACAACTATTTGAGTTGCAAGCTGCACTAGCCACTTTTACTTCACAGAGAATGATTTTTTTGCATCAAAAAACCACTGAAAGACAAACAATAGTAAATCATACTTGGCTGTTTGACAGACATTCTTCTGAAAATGAATGAAATGAGTCCATCAATTCAAGAACAACTCAGTCCTTGATGCCAATGGAAAAAAAAAAAAGTAGTTTCCAAGAGAAATTAGGTTTTTGAAAATTTGTATCCACTTTCATGAGGATGACCATTTCCCAATATTTAAAGATATTTCTGATACGTTTAGTAGTAATACATAATTTTTAAAATAATACATAATGAACTGTGTAGATATTTGGAAAAAATGAGCTAATATTTTTTCAAATAACCAATGTTTGATGTACATATCACACATGGATAGAAGATCTATTCAAAGTGCAAAACCAAACAAAGGATTTTAATGTAACAAAGTACAGAAAGCTCAGTAATTTGGTTTCACATTGCCTATCACTGGTCAAATTCTGGTATACTATCAAACAACATTCATGATAAACTGTGAAGCCAATAGAATACTTCCGCTTTTTCCAACTATCTATGGGCATGAGGACTAATTTTCTTCATGCTTCATGAAGAAAAAAAAAAAAAGGAGGAGGAGATTGAATACAGAAGCAGATAAAGGAAGCCAGCTGTCTTCTATTAAGCCAAACAATAAAGAGATTTCCCAAATATACAACTTTCTTTTTGTTTTAGAAAATATGGCTTTTTTTTCTTAACAGCATATTATTTAATATGTAATGTGTGTGTAATTGTTGCTCTAAATAAATGAATAAACATATTTACTTACAAATATAGTAAATATATATAAACACAGTATCAAAACCTCTGAGATCCTCAGTGATTTTTAAGTGTGTAGAAAGGTTTTTGTTACTAAAAAGTTTGAGAATCATCTCTGCTTTAGTGTATCTTACTTACCTGATGAATAGTAGTTTTCAGTTATCACTAAGCCCACATCATGCTCACATTTAATTAATTCAAGTATGTACAAACTATGTAAATTGCCCGAATGGTTCCCATTCTTGTATCCTATTTCCTTTGCCATGTAATTTTTCAGTTCTTCCCACTGTGGACAAGATACAATTCTCTGCCCCTGGGATTAGCCAGGCGATGTATTGTGACCAATGGAATGTTAGCACATCTAATACAAGCAGAGATTCCAAGGGACTTGAGTGATTAGGTAAGGCTCGAGCTCCCCTGCCCTCTGCCATCTCTGTAACAAGCACCAGCGTAGCCAATGGGAAGATGGAAGATGAAAGAAATGGGGATCAAAGTCACCCACACCTGAGCTCAGCGTGAATCAGCTGGTCTCCCCACCTCCCTCAGCTGGCCAGAGATGCATGACTGAGTTCAGTCAAGAGTGGCAGATCTCTATAACTAAATATTGCCTAGATCAGATGACACAAAGATGACCAAATAAAAATGCTGTTGATGACTCTACACTGTGTTCTCCCTACATACTGACTTGAGACCCTAACAGCTTCTTACTGACTCTTAGTTCTTCACTTGTTTACATGATCCAAATGTTTTGTGTATCTGCCTAGTAGAATTCAGTTTTAGAAACTAAGCCTCAGTTCGTGCTGAAGGCCTGTTTCCGAGGCTACAGACGAAGGACTTGTTCCTTATTCGTGCCTAGGGGAAAGTCCCCGGACCCTTTGGCAGAGAGTGCCGCGTGCACGTGCACATTGACTTTCCCTGCTTTGCACTGTAACGTCCGCCGTCCCGTGTGCTGCGGGGGAGCTGAGCGGCCTGCTGCGGGGCAGTCGTCCGTCAGCGTTTCTAGAAACTAAGCCTCTGTCTCCATTAAGTTCCCAGGAAAACCCGAAGCAATAGATTGTATTACCCAAATTGTACCAAGTAGTAACTTTTCACTTAAATGGCTTACCATTAAAACCTCTAACTTTCTGTGAACCAAAATGTTAAAATGTTTTACTTAGAGAATATAGTGACTTATTCCATATTAAGACAATTTTGTACATAAACATGAATTTTTAAAAAAAAATCCCTGATCATTAAATGGGGTGATGGTTCACCCTGCAAAAATGTTTTACTTGTGAACTTTTCTATTTTTAGCTTACTAAGTGCATATACCATTACATTTTCAAAACTTTACATTTCCTCCAAGTTTGAAGAAACACACATATTGATTGAAATTGTTGAAGTAAATAATTGCAGAGGGACCGATTTTAGATTGTTCTAATACCTCTTAAGAATAACTAACCTCAAACTGCTATTACAGGTACTTTCTGTGCATAGAGGGATGCAAACTATGACCTGTTTTTAATGAATAAAGTTGTATTTGAACAAAACTAGTCTTATTTGTTTAAATATCATCTATGACAACTTTGAGTAGTTTGTTTCAACAAAGACCATAATGGGTCACAAAATCAAAAATATTTACTATCTTGCTCATTACAGAAAAGATTTGCTGATCCTTAAACTACAGCATTAGTCTCATAAAGAAAACACAGTATACTGAAGAGTCAATTGAAACCTTACTCTTTATGATGTGGCCAGAGCTAGTTACCTCATAGAAGAAAGAGTTCTTACCAGTACAAGAATCTGATTTTGTGAGGGTTTTTTTCGGGGGGTGGGGAATGAATTCATACTTTGTTTCTCACAGAAAAAAATGAGCAATACAGGTCATATAAATAAAATAGATGCTCTGTGCTAACCTAAGTTTTGAGAGTGACAGAAAAGAATCTATCAAGACTTAGAGATCAAGATCTGGGTTTGCAAACTAAAGCTTGGGTTCAATAAACACACACAGAGATTTGTTTCTATTTTAACATACATTTTAATATTGAAATTCAACTTAGAAAAAAATAGATTTCCAAATTTAAAATCTTTTTTCTTGCCATCATTACTAATAAAGGCAATGATGTTTGTTTTTTTCCATTTTTTCCCATTTTTTTCCATTATTATCTGTTTTTAAAACTCAACTTAGGAAACTTAAGGAATAGGAAAGGAAGCATTTTTATTTTGTTATCCATTACTCGTAAAGAATGGCACAATGAAGAAGCCATTTAACTTCAACCTACCATATCTCATTATTACAAATCCTGTAGTTACATCAGTGGTGCCCCATTTAAAAAAATCACTGGAAGCTCTTACTGTATGTATTAATGTATGTTCAATTCTTTCCCCATGGATAGCAGAAACATAAATTATTAAAATGTAACTGTTTTGAGGAAAGGACCGGAAGATACAAACTTGAATGAGATCACCATGAAGTGATTTTAGGAAAGTTTCACTAGATGGCAGCATCTTAAAAATAAAGGAAACACAAACACTTCTCCAAAACCTCTCTACAGCCGTCCAGTTAATATTTTCATTATTTTACCTCTTTAAGAGTAGGTAGAAAAACAATATGAATAGGTGGAAACAGAAACTCCACATCTGAGTGCCTACTTCATGCAATTTTTAAAATAAAAATCAAATATTTTTCAATAAACTTGTATTAAAATCATCCGCAAGAGCTCACAATCATACTGACACAACCATGTACAAGCACAACAGCGGTCCGCCACCAGGTTGCCTCACTTTGTAGTCCATCTCCAGACCACTGTGGTAATCTAACCATTATGAATACTTCCAGCCTGCCTAGCTCCAATGAATTTGCTAAATCGCACTTTTGAGTAAGACTCCTTATGTCCCTTCAAAGAACCCCATTAGCTTCAGAATGTAACTCACTTTCCTTAGTACCCAGTCCTTTCCAGTTTTCTTGTCTCAGGTGCCCCTTACCTACCTCCCTCTATTTGCAAAAAACCTTCTCTGTCTGAGGGTATTCTTTCCCTCCTCACTTTGCATGGGTATCTCAGGTTTTGATTATAAGATAACTTCCAGGGGCACTTGGGTGGCTCAATCCTTAAGCCTCTGCCTACAGCTCAGGTCATGATCCCAGGGTCCTGTCCTGGGATTGAGCCACATCCATTCCCTGCTGGGTGGGAAGCCTAATTCTCCCTCTCCTACTCCCCCTGCTTCTGTTCCCTCTCTCACTGTCTCTCTCTCTCTGTCAAATAACTAAAATCTTTAAAAAAAAATAAAAATAAGAAATAAAAAAAGATAACTTCTATGAAAGATTCCTTTGTCAAACTCTCCCTTCTATCTTATGGATAGCTGTTTGCATAGATCTCTTGTAGCAATTTTCCAATCTTATTGTCTTCTACTTTTACATGATATTGACTTAAATAATTGTTGAATATAAATAAGTAAATGAATAAAAAAAAGGTCATACAATTGTCAATAAATATTCTCTAAACTGATGATTAATTTTAAAGATTATTATTTATTAAATTATTAAAGATTATTATTTGAAGCCCTTTCTTCCTGTTGCAATTTTATGGTATAAACAATTTATTCAGACTTGGCATCTTTCAAAACGAAGTTTCCAGTAGTCAAAAATATGTTCAAAATCCCTCTCAATAAAACAAGGAAT